GACTTCAATTCAAAATTCCAACTACATGTGTTTAACAGCTCATTAGATTGATGAAGAATGGACATTGTAGAAACGAATTTTGAATTTTTATGTGGTAGAAAACCATAAAGGGGACACCATTGGAAATGAAATTGAGGGATGCTTATTTTATTAGGGTATTGAGAAAGTATTTGTAATTACAGTTGATAATGCTTCTTCTAATGATTCTACCATTGTATTTTTAAAGAAGCGTTTGAAGGATTTGGGAGGTCTAGGTTGTGATGGAGAATTCTTGCAGATACGGTGTGCTACCCATATTTTGAATTTAATCATTTCAAAAGGCCTTAAAGATATGAATCAATCTATTGAACTTATTCAGCATGCAATCAAGTTTGTTAGATCTTCTCCTGGTAGGCTTAAAAAATTCAAGGAGCTTGTTGAAAAATTGAGAATTGATTCAAAGAGTCTTCTTACCATGGATTATCCCGCTAGATAATTTATATTATTATTAAATTATGATTGTTTGCATTATGATATGTAATTTTTCCTAACATTTAAATCTTTTTCTTGCCGTAATAGGTGGAATTCAACATACATCATGTTGCAGAATGCCGTTAAGTTTACTAAGGTCTTTGATAGAATGGAGGATGAGGATCAAGATTACAAGAACTACTTCAAAAAGAAATTTAAACTGTCTTCCAGCTCAAGCTTTGTTGATAGGATGGAAGAGGAGGATGAAGATGAGCTTGGTGATCATGATGGTGATGAAGGTACAGTTAAACCTCCTAATGCTTATGATTGGAGTGTGGCAAAGGAATTTCTTACCTTTTTGGAGTTGTTCTATACTATGACTCCTCAATTTTCTGGATCAAATTATGTCACATCAAACACATGCTTTCAAAATATAATTGCAATCAAGACACGATTGGATTCAATTGCAGTTGAATCTAATGCTTTGTTGAGTGACATAGCAGAAAGGATGCAAAGTAAGTATGACAAGTACTGGGAAAAGGCAAAAAACATGAATCCATTATTGGTAATAGCTAAGATTCTTGATCCTAGATACAAATTTTCTTATGTTAAAGTTGCTTTTAAACATTTTATTGGTGATTACACGAGAGGGAAATGATGAAAAAGAAGATTATGGGATTTTTGCATCGCTTGTTTGATGAGTACTTTGCAACTCTTACAACCAGTGGTAGTGAACCATCTGAAACTGGTATAGAGATGGGGGATATTAGTGCCAATGGTGGAGGGAAGCAAGTTCCTCTATCTTCTAAAAAAATTATTGATATGACAATGCAAGATTTCTTAGCCACTGCAATGAGTAAGCATCCAAAGAAATCAATTTCAGAGGTGGAAGAGTACTTAAATGCAGAGTTAGTTGATGTTTATGATGATAGTTTTGATATTTTGGCATGGTGAAAAGTAAATTCTTCCAAGTATAAAGTTCTAGGTTTGATTGCATGTGATTTGTTAGCTATGCCTGTCTCCACAGTATCTTCAGAATCTGCTTTTAGTACTGGGGGTCGAGTACTAGATACTTTCAGGAGTTTCTTATCTTCAAAAATGGTCGAGGCACTCATTTGCACGCAGAATTGGCTATCATCAACATCATGCACCCTATTGGAAGAGATTGATATTGACTATTTTGATGAGACTTTACGTGCTGTTGATGGTAATAATAATATGAATAAGTTATTTTAATTATATTCATTTTAATTCTCCATATTATATAATATATATTATTACTTACTAATCTAATTGTTTTAATTTGTCTTGTAGAGGAAGAGTCAATAACTCAATCTTCTGCTGTATCAAGTGACTCCAAAGAAGATAAATGAGAATTGATGAGACTGGATTTTCACTTTAAAAATTAGAATTGTTGATCCTTGTTTATTTAGCATTTGTTATTAAAATATTTGTCCTTGTATTATTTAAAGATTTAAATTTTTAGAATGATGCTACTTGAGTACTTATGTTAAGTTCTAGTGGAATGAAAATTATATGTTTTAATTTCTTTTTTTTTTAAGAAAATGGGTGTGGTGGGTAAACGGGTGGCCCAGACCCGCCCAGACCCGTTTGCACCCGTTTAAAAATGGATTCAAACGGGTATAAGTGGGTATGGGCGGGTAGCCACCCGTTTACCCATAAACGAGCGGGTAACGGGTACAGTCACGGGTGGCCTGTACTCGCCCGTTTACACCCCTACATAAATTTATTTTATCACATTTTATTACTATCTAGACATTTTAGATTTAATTTAGATGGTCTATAATTAATATTAAATTTTTATAAATGGATTATCCAGGTTTACCTTAAACAGTTTAGATTTAAAATTTTTAACTTGTAATTTTTCTAAGAAACATGTGTTTTAAAAAGTACCAATTAGAATATTATCTTTAGGAAAAAATTATGTATAGATCTAGTAGAAACAAACTTATTTACAAATAAATTTCATAATATTCAAAAATCACAATCAAGTTTCTTGAGGCCTGAGTATAATTTGAGATTGGAGTTCAAGGACTTCCCTATTAAAAATACATTAAATCAATCAAATAGTTTACAATTACTTCATCATCACTTTACAACTATCACTTTTATTTTTTACAATTATAACCTCACATATCAAATAATTAAATTAATCATGCATTATAAGTTTAATACTAATTTTGTATAACTACTTCATCAATAATTTACAACTATTACTTGGACATTTTACGACTATAACTTTATATATTTAATATTTAAATTAATTTTTTATTATTAACAAAGTTCAACACTAACTGTTTATAATTACCTCCTCAATAATTTACAATTACTACTTTAACTTTTTATAATTATAATTTTACATATTCAACAATTAAAATAATCACGTGTCACAAATTTAATACTAATTGTATACAACTACCACATAAGTAATTCACAACAATTACTTTAACTTTTTACAATTGTAACTTAAAATATCCAGTTGTAAATAAATTTGATTGTGATTTCTAAATTTTGTAAGATTTATTTATAAATAAATTTTATCTATAGGACCTCTACATAATTTTTTATTTTTATTCTTAATATTATATTTATTAAAATAAAAATTATAAAAATTATAAAAAGTTTTGGATATTAAATTTGTATAGTCTATGTATATCTGAACAATCAATTTATGAAAACATAAAAAAATAATATTAAATTAAATTATTTAAATTAAATATGTACTATCCAAATTAATGATAAACAAATTTATTAAAATTTTGATAACTTTTATATTTTTATTTTAATAAATATAAAATAAAAAATTTAAATTCAAACTGTCCAAGTTAAATTTGAACAATCAAAATCTCATTAAAAATAATGAATACCATGGTATTCATTGTCATCAAAGATGAGCATCAAAATCAAGTCCTCTGGAGTGACGATGTTAAGAGCTTATTTGGTAGGGTTTCCATTTTTTGTTTTAAAAATTATTTTGCAATATAGTTTTTAAAGCTATTTTTCAAAACAAAACAAGTAAAAAATATATTTGATTGTATTAATTCTAAAATTGTTTGAAAATTAAAAAATTGATCGATAATAATGGTCTCCAATGTAGCTTATGATCATAATTGATCAAGAAAATTATAATTTTTTATAATCAAAATATAATATATTTTGAAAAAATAAAACAAAAATAGATTTATGATTTTTTTTATTTTTTATTTTTTAAAAAAAAATGAAAACAATTTTAAAAATAGTTAAATTTAAAACAGTTAGCGAAACAAGTTTTTAATTCATTTTGTTTTTTTAAAAAATAAAAAACTATTTTTAAAAACAAAAACTAAATAGGACCTAAAACATTCATTTTACTCCAGTGCGCCCTTCTCGTTCTTTCCTCTTCATCGCTGCACTGATGACTTTGGGAACGTCATTATAGCCTGTTGCAATTTAAAATTAATGTCGTACTTGACTCGCCAGAAAAAATAGGAAAAAAATTATTATTTTTATTTGTACAATAATAATTTCATTATTTATAAAATTATTTATATATAATAAAATTTAATATTTTACCATCTTTTATATATATATAATAATAATTTCTATCATATATTATTAATTGAATAAAAACATAATTACAAATTATTTTATTCAATAGAGACCAAAAATTATTTTATCCAATTTATAATTTTATTTATTAAATTACTAAATATATAATAAGATTTTGAAACCGCAACCAAGTATAAGGCACTTCACTAAAAATTTAGAATTAACATTTATCTAATTAATCTAAAAATTAAATATAGTGCTTGCTTAACAAAAATCCATTATCAAAATATAATTACACTATAAATATAAAATTTAAAAATTGATGGGTATATCTAAAAATGAAATTTTCTCTCCAAAATCTCTCTATATTTAGCGAGAAAAGTTGAAGGTAAAAAATTCAAATCTTACATGTTATTTTCCCTCCACTTTTCTCTTCATAACCAAATAGGAGAAAAAATTGTTATCAAAAAAAAAAAAAAAAAACCTCCCCCTCACCTCCCTTTTGGGAGAACAACAAATAAGGACCTACAAAAGCATTAGTATCAAATTAAGATTTCTTTAATACTAACATTCCCAAATTCAATGCTCCTTCTCCCATATTTCAATACTAAAAATTTTAATTTGATATTAATTTTTTTATAAGATTCTTAGTTGGTATTCACCCCCCCTTTCACTTTTTGTCCCAAGTATAGCACAAGGGTCAAATTGCAATGTTTTTAAACATACAAGTGAAACATGGCAACAAATCAAAGATTAAGATACCGAATGCCTCTGAACAAATAGTTGAAAAACAATAATATCCATTAATCCCAATAACGTTACCATTTCCTTCTTGAATTACACGTTAATTAGTGTAATTGGTTTCCTTTCCCATCAGTTGAAATCCCATTTCGTATCCATGAATATGCAAAACACAGTACGCAACACTAAAGCTCCTAGACATTTTGGTGAGAGTATCCCCTCAAGCAGAAAGACAAATGATCAATGACTGATAGTGAAACTGAGTGCCAATTAACAAGAGTCAGATCTTTCTGCTTCCTTTCATGATAAAAACGTAAAAGAACAGACATTTCATGTTGTAATATTCCCGCACCACTAATCAATATCAGTGAGATACACGAGATTAAGATCCGGGACAAAAAATGGAATGCAATCATTCCCAATCATATAATTTCTCGATCTCGGAGTTCAGAACTTGGAGAACAACCCACTAACAAGATACAGGATCTCATTGCATTTACAATTGAACTATTTTTGAATCTGGTTAAGTCTTCTATGAATCAAGTTCAAACATAACCTGCCAAATCCAGATCCAGTAAACCGCAGCTCTCTCATGTGATTACGTCTCTATATCAGAACCTTATCCCTGGAAGAACAACACAAGTCGTCAAAGCGGTCTCAATCAAAATCGTTCAACAATCATACATTCCCAGTTCGCTATTCTGGATCTATTAATTTCTTTTATAATATCCTCCAATAAGACATTAAAAAATGAAGTAGTTTTTATAGCCAGCCAAGATATTAGAAAATTGAAGAAAGAAACGAAAAAATTGTGCCATAATGCAGATCTAAGTAACTAACATTGATAAGGATAAAGGGAAAAATACGGAAGAAAACAAAGGCACACCTACGTCTGTTTGGAGTAGGAAGAAGACGAGGGAACGCGCTTGTTTCGGAACATCATATAACCGACGGGCAATACGACTCCGATCATCATAACGGCGGCTCCCATTAAGTATCTGATTGGGCTTGGAGGTTCCACCTCGAGGAATATCTTGCCCTGCATCGCGAGAAATTAACAACACATGAAGAAATTCAATACCAGATTGATAAAATTTTCGAAGAAAATGAGGCAATCACGAAAACATAAGAGATCGAGATCTGGACAATAAATCAATAACAGAAAAAGCAATAGAGGGAATCATTAGAGCCTTACAGCCATATCGGGGAAGTCAGAGATCGGATTAGGGACTATGCTCTCAAGTCTCTCTACGCGGAATTTTGGGGTTACAGGGTGAACGGGAGAAGGATTGGTTTAGAGTCTGATAGAAGGATCGATGTGAGGTTTTGTCTTCTTAACTCTTACTGATCATGAGGATTTTTCTTTTATTTTTAAATCAAGAAATTTCTTTTGAATTTAAAAATTCTATAAAATAAGAAAAATTCTTGCATATATATCTATAGTCTATCTAATAAAAACATGTCAAGATAATTTTAATTCAATCAAATAAAATATTATATATTATTATTCTCAATGATTTTATTTTTTAAATTTTTTTCTTATCTTTTCTCTCTTCATTATTATTTGGAGCTGAATAAATTTATATTTACAAATTTTTGATATAGCATGTTTTTATTAGACAAATTATGAATCATATTAAGTCTACACAAATATTTCTTATAAAATGATAATGCAACTTGAAATTTTTATGTATTGATAACATTTTATTATATTTTTTGACAGCAATCCAAAAAAAAAAAAATTCAGACAGCATGTGTACATTGAGATATTTGCATGACTTAATTTTGATTTAAATATTTCGGCTGTCTTTATCGATTTGTCTATTTTTAAATAAACATATATACTACAACTGAAAAAAAAGTTTTCCTTGATGCAACAAGAATCTAAATCCAAATTAACTACTAAATTAAATTTATATATAAATTTTTATTTACTTGTCATTGAATTGTTAAATGTTAATCACAATATGATAAGATATATAATTTTTAATTGCCATAAATATATAATTGTGAGACAAAATGGAGATTTACAGAACTTAATTTTTATTGATACTTTTCTTTTAAACAAAAATAAGACAACTTTTTATCTAAATTTTACCTACACAAGAGCATACCTATATGTTGAAATTACTCTTACTGTTAAAATTTTTAAAATTTTCAAAATCATTAGATTTAAAAAAAAAATACAGGGACAGGCCCTTGATGTAAAATTACGAAATAGAATCAAACATGCAAACTTTTACTGATAAAGAGCTTTCATGCAAACAGTCCAAAATAGTCACAAGTTATTTTAATCTAAAGGAAAATGTTTCTGGAAACTTGGCATCTTTCACCCTTTTTTTTTTTTTTGGGTAAACCTAGCGCGTTGTTTTGTTAAACTCTTTCACTTTATTCTTCCTATGACTGATAGGAATGCTTAGTGTGCGTTTGACTTTTAATTTGTTAAAAGTTTATTTAATAAAAATTTATTTAATAAAAATTAATTTAGTAAAAATTAGTTGTTATAATGAAATTTATGTTTGGATATATTTTTTTAAAAATTAGTTTGATATATTGAAAGTTGTTTGATTTATAATAATGAAATATGCTTTTGAATGTACAATTATCAAAAAGGACATTAATTTATAATAATTTATAATTTTTATTATACAAATATAATATATTTTAAAAATATAATAAAGATTTTAAATTACATGAATTTTGATCTATAATACTAAAAATTTGATCTCTAATTATTTATATTTTTTAATCTGTAATTTTAAAAGATGTAATAAAGATTTATAATTTTTATTATACATTAATGTTAAAAATTAACATGATTAATTACTCAATTTATAATACTAAAAAAATTGATACCTAGTTATTATTATTAAAATAATAATTATATTTTTAATGAATTAACTATTTTTTAAATAAAAGAATAAAAAATTAAACTTAGGGTAATATGGTCAAATAACATCCTACTTTTTAAATTCACTTTTTAAAAACTTCAAATAGTTATGTTTTAAAAATTCACTTTTAGCTATTGTTTGAATATACTTTCAGAATGTTCTTTCCTATAAAATATTCTACTCAAACAACTTTCAACTTTTTAAAAATAAAATTTTACTTTTTGGATGTGAAATAAAAGAAAACCAAACGGACCCATATTGTCCTGGAAAACCAAGCTAATGCATGGTCTATTGGTCTTTAACAAGTGAAAACTCTAAAAATTAAAAACCGTATTATTGTTTTATCATCTGTATCACCAACTTTTTTCCATTAGAGAAGTCATGAAAAGAAGTGGCTGAAAAAACCATCAGCTGTAACCATAATGTTTTCAGAAACATACCAGTCATGATCAATGGTTTTTCTTTTTTCCTTTAGCTTATTATTGCAACTTATAACATGAATTAGGGAATCGACATGTAAATGCACCTCATTTTGGTGCGTATTGTTATCCGTAAACAAAAGATTATACTAACAAGTTGAGAAAAAAGCAAAAGAGAAAAAAGATTACAGCAATCTATTCCCATCACCACTAGCTCGTGTCTCATTTTGTATGTGCCCAGTTAAAATACAACTGTCTTCTTTCCTTCATATGGTAATACTCGAAGCTCACAATAAGATCTGATAGCCTTTGAAAGACATTGTTTCTCAAGGCTCTCTGATTTCTGCACAAAGCTCTGTAGGTTGTCTCTATGGGATACTCTCTCCACCTGCAAATATAAGATCCAGCCATTTCAGTACTCCACAGAAGAACAAGAAAGAGGCATACTCTAGGTTGTCCGCTAGGCTTATGACATAACATGCACTTTCATAATCTATTCAGACTTCATATACTTTTGCAATATATCTTAGTGCCTATAGCTGATACAGAAGCTCAAGTAGGCTATACAGATTTTTCAGCAGCACCATCTGTTTCGCTTGACAATGGGATGATCTAAGTCTAACTGCAAATCAAACTCTAACACACAATAAATTTATGGTCCTTCCTTTCGGTGTAAGAAAACCCCAAAACTTAGATTCAAAAACACAAACGAGGAAATATACCTTAAACAAACATAGATTTTGGATGAGATTAATCAAATGGAATTAAACAAGCTAATATCACTGTCACCAATAACCAATTTAGATAAATGTTATCATTTATGAATTGTGCAACCGAGCAAGATGAAATTAACATAAACGGCTATAAATGCTTTTGTGTTCACCATTTGTTCAATTATGGGCCCTGCATCAAGTTCTTCAGTCACAAAATGACTCGTCGCCCCAATTAATTTCACACCTGCTTCAAAGGCCTGCCAACATAGTCTAACGCATTAAGATTTATGTGTGATTAGGAAGGAACAAAGAGCACAAAAAGATTGAGTAACAGCAAGAAACCTGTCTAGATGGATTGCCACCCCTGAATGATGGCAACAGACCATGGTGAATGTTGATAATATCCTTCCCATAGCTCCTTAAGAAATAGCCGGATAATATCTGCAGAGGTTAATTAATGACAGGCTTTTAAAAAGTTAAAAAATTTAAAACAAAGAAACACAAAGGAAAGAAAGAAGTTGGACTCCTCTTCAAATCAATATTATGCAGAACAGAAAGGTAATTTCTATATCCAATTCAGATTTTCATAACTAATACAATTAACAAATAGCCAATTCTTCCAAAACGAAGAATAGATTTCAAAAAATAGAACTGATTACCAAAGACCCTCTCTATTATTTAATTTTATTTATTTATTTATTTTTTTCTTTGGTGTAAAGCGAAGTCCCTCTCTTAGGTACTGGAACCGAACCAATCCAAAACATCAAATATGTTTCAAAATAAAACCCATCAACAGAATCCCTCTCTTAGATATTGGATCAATTCCAATAAGAAGCCTTATACTACTATGTGGGGTTGGCTATATAGATTGCACGACATCGTTATGCTCTATCATCAACCAAGTTCTTAAGAATATTATCAATCAAGAAGTCTCTTTCAACAATTTCAAAAGTGTTCTCTTTGATCTTTCCTTAGATCAAATAGCAAACATAAAAAGATGAGTTATTTACCTGCATGTACCTTGCAAGGACTAAAAAATCAGTATTCTGAACCAGCTCCAAGATCTCCCCTTCCCTTTTATTCTCTTTGGTTGTGCTTAAAAAATGATAAGGAATACCATGCCTCTCAAGAAAACGAAAAACATGGGTATTTGGGCCTCTATCATGGTTACTGCCAAATGTGCCATTGAATAAAATATTTAGATCGAAGAGGAGGTTAGCTGGAAAATAAAACAAAACAAAACAATGAGAGATATTAATATAAAGGTGTTATATCTGAAATTTTACCTAATTACACACTTGATATCCACTGGAAGTCTTCCATCCTGCCACCCATGTAACAAATCAACCAGGCAGTGGTCCTACAGCAATAGAAAGAAAGATTCAATACCAAAAAAAAAAAACAAAAAAACAGAGAACAACAGACAACCACGAGAAATAACAGAATATACCTGCTTTGACGCCAGAACAGCTATCTTATATTTAGGATCCAGTGCCGGTGCCCTCACAACAGATCGCGTTGCATTAAATTCTTTTGAAAGCTTTAGAAAGTCCTCATCCATTTGCACACGTGGCCATTTAACAGGATCAAATACAAAATCGCTGCAATGATCAGCACAAGGTGCAGTTTCATTCATAGGTTCAGCGAACCAAAAATACATCTTTAGCCTCTTGCATCCTATAGGAAAAAATTGTTACAGATTTTTTATTTATTTATTTACAAAGTAGTTTTCTTAGGAAAATGATAGAAAAGAATTGACTGAATATAAGATATCCTCTTTAATTTTAGAGAAGTTATTTACAGCAAAGTCGTTATTGCCTTCAGTCACCCTCCAGACCAAAAATGCCAGCTTTAACGATCAGTGGCAAGAAAATTAAAGGATATATCAGTTATTAGTTTAACTGAGCTCCCCCTCCCCCTCACCGGGTCTTTCTCTCTCACAAACTTGTTTGTAGGGTATGACGTGGTGATGTCAGGCATTAGAATCTAGAGTGCTGGCATTACAGCTCTAGAAGCAGTCCACATTAGTGCAAGAAAAAGATCCCTTTGCTCGAGGATACTTGTTTCTCTCAAAAGGCTTGAAAACTTGCGTTGTTGGCAGCTAAGAATTTATGGTACTAACATGGACAGATATATTAGTGTTCGAATGCATTTGAAATATTGCATTAACATGGGATTGTAATTTGAAGTGTTTTATCAGGTAATGAATAATTCTGTATTTGAAACCTTGAAACGTCGTAGGTTTGCAGGTTTAAGCCAAGCAAATTGACACATAATGGCTTGATCAAAAAGTACACTTGAAATAAAAATCAACCAGCAAGATAGACTGTGTTTTGAAATACAAGTACAAGACAGTGGAACTACCTTCTAGAGTAGAAGACTTGTTTATTTTCAGGTACAAAAACATCAGCGGCGAGAATGTTTCCGCCCCTAGAAGCAATACAATCCGACAGCTTGGCTACAATTCCGACCGAATCCTATCACAAAACCAATTCAATTCCCACCTGGACACCCAGAACTGAACCCCTTCCCGCCCGTTTTACGAAACTTGGCATCAACAGTAATCATTTTCGCAGAAATTAAGAGAAAAATGTCGGGAAGCAGTATAACTAAAAGACGCAAAGAAGCATGTAGACAGAAAAACCATATAGCCAGGTTAAAAACAAGGAAAAAGCGAAATGAAAGAATGTGACTTACAGGGCATCGAAAGACGTGGATTCCATGGGTGAGAAATGACGAGGATGGAGATTCGACAGAGTCGTCAGGGAATTTCAAAGAAGTAAAGGACCTGTTAGTCAATCCAATAACTTGAGGGAAGCTGGAAGAGGCTCTTCGTACGAATGGCATCATCCTCCAAAGTTTCCCCCTCCAGTTCTCTGTAAAAGATCGATGAACCAGTGCCACCCACCGGCTTGGTGGGGTTGGGATGTCAGAGGTATTGAAGAGTTAGATTACTATGGCTTTCGATCTCCCGGTTCAACGACATGTCGTTTTGTAGGTACCGATATCACAGAACAGAACAGGATCACATCATCATGAAACTCGTGGCTTGTAATAATAGTAACACTCGTGGCCTGTAATCAACGGAGAAATGGCCGAAAATCGGAATAGATTCGGAAAAATTGAAGCCGGAAAATTCATGAATCTTTTAGTAATTTATAATTATTTTAAAAATTAAATTTCTTAATGATAAGCTTATAAACCTAAATACATTTTCTGATGCAGTGTAGAGTACAAAATTTAATAATATATACAGATTGGAAATAACAAATAATATTTATATACTTTGGTGATTTTAAATATTCATTGTCATTAAATTATTGAAAATTAGATGAATACCATTTTCTTAAAATTTCATAATAATTCTTGTCTTCTAGTGCCATAATTATAATAATTCTTGACAAAACTGACTAGTTGCTAACTTGCTATGGGCCGCGAAGAAGACAATGAGAAGGACAGCAACGTACACAATCCTTTTCTGACCACATATTAATGAATTATCCTCACCAGTCTTAAATTTATTCAGAGATTTAGAATATTTTTGTTATAATAAAAATAAAGATAATAATATCTACATGTATAAGTAATGAAAAATAATACTTCCTCCCATACTATAACAAATTCACACAAATTTTAAAAACTAGCTAAATTAGTTATTTATCAAAAAAACGTGTACATGAATTTAATTATAGGGTAGCTTAAAAAAATATAAGAAATAGAGAAAATTAGGATCATATAAATATTTATCAATGTCCTACACATTAGGAAATACTCCCTCCATTCAAAAATGTAAAGTATTTTTTAAAAAATTTAATATTTAAAAAATATAAAGCATTTTTAGTACCTTTTTTTCAAAAATATATAGTAACTTTATATTTATTATAAAGTATTTAACAGGAGTGAATATAGAAAGATAGGGTTAGTTGAAAGTAAGTAAATATTTTATTGAGAGATGAGATTCGATTAAAAATGCCTTACATTTTTGAATGGAGAGAGTATTTTTCTTTTTATATTTGTATTGGATTGCCGGTTGAATTCAATTTCTATTCAGATTTTATAAGTTCAGTAAAGGTTAATCTAATTATTAAAAATTTGACACATAATTAATAAAATCATGAGTTCAAAATTTAAATTTCACTTCTAATATTAGGACTTCATAGATGGGTCGTCCATCAACGTTTTCCTGAATGTTCTTTTAAACTTGAAAACATGATTAGACCCTTATGGTGATTGATGATTTAAGTTTTTGCATAGACTTTGGCATTAGGACTAAATAAATTGAAAGGCAACGACCAACGAAAATGACACACGTAATTAACTTGGAACTCTAATGCTTCTTCCATAGACCATGGCAAATAAATAGAGCTTTGTTCAACTTTTAACTTTCTGATTAATTACATTATTATCAAAAGCCAAATCAAAGCCCCTTCTCTGAGTGGAAAGAAAAATTAAAGGCACAACTTCCACACACAACAAAACAAGAAAACAAATGATGATCAAACTGGAAACACACAATAACTCCTCAAGGGTAGTTTTCAGAGGTAGGGACGGGAGCATATGAGCCGATGAATACATCGCCATAGATCAAACCGGCCAAACCGCCACCGATCAATGGGCCAACCCAATAGATCCAATAGTTGGTGAAGTCCCCAGATACAATAGCCGGGCCGAACGAACGGGCTGGGTTCATTGAACCGCCACTGAATGGGCCAGCGGCCAAGATGTTGGCACCAACAATGAAGCCAATTGCAATAGGCGCAATAATGCCCAATGAGCCTTTTTTAGGGTCAGCTGCTGTGGCATAGACAGTGTAAACAAGTCCAAAGGTGGCAACAATTTCAAACACTATGCCTTCAAAAATACCCACTCCTGAAGCAAGTCCATGGATCGGAACGGTCTGCATAATAAATTTGAAAACCAGTTTATGAATAAATAATGCATGATCTATCTAATTAGCATGATTTAATTTAAGTGATATTAAGTTGAAAATGAAATGAGAGAAAGATAAATAAAGAAGTGCAAACCATTTCTACTATGACACCTATTTAAATAGAACTGCAGGACTTAAAATTGAATATTTTTTTAGGGAGAATGATAGTTAAGTTTGAAAATAACAAATAAATGACATATAGGTCTATAATAAAAATTTATAAAAAAAATAAATTGTAAATATTGATGTAAATAGTTGTAAATTCAAAAATTTTCAATTGCAAATAAGATATCAAAATTCTAAATGAAACTCTCAATATTTGCATGTAGGATTTCTATTTATAATTATCTAAGTTAATGTTTACAATTCATTTAAAAAAATTATTAACGATCTAACTATCATTAATTTGATAAATAGGTGTGCATTAGACAAAATTGTATTATGCTGAAAATAAAGGTAATAATAGTCTAGGTGAAAAGAAATAGAAATAGAATTTTGGCGGATCATCCATTTAACTGATGAAATCCATATTTACAACTCATATTTTATAAAGTGTTCTTGATCTCAATTTAGTGGTAGGACTTATTTTCATATGGTTATCTAGGAAAATGATAATTGAAGATGATAAAAACAAAATTAATACAACGTAAAATATATAGAACAATTTACAACTTAAATTTCTAAATTTACAATTCAAATTTTTATATTTACAATTAAGAAAATCGTATTTTATATTAGTTTACTTTATTATGATCGTTATTCTCTTTGGTTTTATATCCAAAAAAAATTGAAGTTGGATAAGGAGGCATACCGGGGCATTGGTGACAAATTTGAGGAGGAAGCAAGCGACCATAGATCCCAACAATTGGTGAACCCAATACAAGATAGCAGTCAAGATGGTGATGTTGCCTCCAATGGCCAATCCAAAAGTGACAGCTGGATTCAAAATGGCCACCGGAGATGTTGGCTGCTACGGACACTCCGACGAACAGTGCGAATGCATGCGCCACCGCCACCGCCACAAGCCCCGCCGGATCTAACGCTGCATCCTTCGTGAGGGCACCTATATACATACATACACACACACACACACACATATATATATATGTTCCGACATCGTCAACGTCCTCGGCTATATAACATTCATGTACTTCATTTCTTTATCGGAAGTAAATTCTCGTGAGTTGAGATCTATGAATTTTTATAAAGTTTTTTTATTATTTTTTATTTTACTTTTTTATCAAACATAAAAAAGAAAAAATAGTTGTTATGTTTCTTATATTAGAAAACCTTATAAATATAGTGAAGTTTATAAATATGAATATTTTTTCCATCCAACTGGCTAACTTTTTAAGATAAATTCTCTCTCTAAACTTGTACTTACAATATCATCTTCACTAAAAAGCTAATGTCATGAAAATGACATCTCACATAATGGTCCTAACCAATTAAATGAAATGTCAAGAATATATTAGCTCTTGAATGGATGACATTTGTTATGAGTCTTGAATACGAATTTAAATTGTATGAAGTTGAGATCGGTGAATTTCTGTGAAATTTTCTTTTTAAAAAAGAGAGAAAAGATTTTATATTTTATAAAAATAATAAAATGAGCAAAAATTATAAAAGAAAAAAGAAAATTTTATCTAGATTTACTAATCCCAACTTCATTTAAAACATTGAAGCTTTCTCATCTAATAGACTCGTCTTTTAATACCGGCTCTAACTTTGGACTAACTTATGCTCATAAATAATTCACAAGCTTCTTTAACATGAGACATGTAACAAATCAATTCCCTTCTTTCTCTATTGCACAAAACTGGGTTTGCTTTGTCTTAACGGAATGATTATTTAAAGGAGGCAGAGTATAATCCAAGACTCACCGTAAGCGATGGCGGATCCAACGCCGGCGAAGACGAAAAGCAAAGTGGCAATGAACTCTGCTGTATAAGCCTTAAAGGCAGCGACACTGAAAGAGTCACCCAAGGTACCAACAGCTATCTTCACCATTTTGATTCGTCACTCTGAAACAAACCTCCTAAGTTTTTCAAACTTAGTTTTTTTTTTTTTTTTTTGTGTTTGTTGTAACACAACCCTTTTGCAATGGCTTACATATATATAAAACAAGGCTTACGAAAGAGAAGACAATTGGCACCGTCCATGGACCACAAAGGGTGGTTGGATAATGCATTATTGAAGGGCTCTCTTATTTTCGTTGTTTTTTTTTAATGTAATTTTGATAATTGGCCACACACTTTGTTTCTTCTTTTAATGGTTTGGTGATGGGCTTGTTTTGGTGTTTTTAATTTATTCGTTCATGAACGTGATGACAACTATGTTAATTAGTACAATAGTGATAAAAAAGAATTTAAATAATAATGGAGCCGTTATGGATATGTATCACTGCTACCATCCACCTCTTTTAGAGATTAAATTGACTGTGATTGATAAAGATGGATGATGATCTTCCTTTTGCGAGAGAATATGAGCAAGGGAAAAATGAGAGATATTTGATTTTTTAATTTGAATTTTCCAAATTTTAGATTTTTATTAATTAATTATTTTAAAAAATAATGCAATACTCTTTGCCCTTAATGTGTGGAACAGCAAGATCGACTTACCCCTTGTATTAAAATAAAAAAAATATTATTTTTTTTGGAGCTTTTGCAAATATAGTCTATATATTATAAGACCAAATCAAGCTAACAACTCAACATTTATTATATTTTACATTATGACTGATTTTTTATATTTTTTAATGATATATTGTTGTATATCAATGATAAATCTTTAAATTTTTAATGATAAATTCCTTATATATCAATAGTAAATTTTTTGTATGTCAATATGAACGAAAATACTCCCAAATTTTTAAAACTTTGATCCATACTTTTTAGATATAAGATTTTTTTTTAATTAGCGGGCTAATTTATCCTGTTTTATTTAGACATATTGAATAGCAAATTAATTATTGGCGTGCCAGCCGCCGACCACGCATGTAAAAAGAGGAACGGCATTAATGTCCACTCTTCTCATTTGTGGATATTTTGATTTAATAATGACTAGGATTTGAATTAGGGATATAGATCTAATTACTCAATCTTAATCAGTATTTCATGTAGTACGATAATAATTATTAGTTTAATTAAAATATTAAATAATTGTTAAGGATTTTGTTATATGACACGATAAGGTGTCAAATCTCACCTCTCAAATTGAATTTGATTACAAATCAAATTAGTAATTGTTCTAAATTTTTGAAGGGAATAGCATCCATGAAAAGCATTTTGATAATGAGAGTTTTTTTTTTTAATTTTTAGAGAAAATATATATCTTAAAAATTTTTAAGTGTTAATGAAATCTAATAACTAGAATTGGAACTGAATCCAAAGATTAAGTTTGGAATTTGGGTTTAAATCAAATCTTACCTACCTAAGAAATTAAGACCACATCAAAATAATTTTTAAAAAATAATATTAGAATATTGTGTGAGATCCATTTTCCTTTTTCGTAATTTGATGTGTATTGCCATAATTGATATTTTAAAATAAATAATTAGAGACTTTCCTAAAAAGGTTGCCTACTTATTCTTTTCTCAATAATTACATGCATATGTAATGCTGAATATTCTTTTTGAATGAATTTAACAGATCACCAAGAAAAAATGACTCCAATCATAGATTCTAAGCTATATATATTTATATACGTATCGTAAAATTTATAATAGGAAGTGGTATATTTCATAATTTATGAAAGGATAAATAAATAAATTATCTTATAGTAATATTATAAATCCTGAACTCATTTATTGTATAAATTATTCTTTTAATTTTTAAAAATATTGTAATATCTTTCTTGTTATTAATAAAAGTTAATTTTGATTGTTAATTGACAAAAAAATAATCTCAAAAATTACAAAAATTAAAAAATATAGAAAATTATCAAAAAATTTGGGTTATTTTTGTAATTTTTGAAATTTTTTTTAACCAACTAACCATTAAAATTAACTTTTATTTATAGCGCGCACTATATTACACTGTTTTTAAAAATTAAAAAAATAATTTACTCAATAGACAAGTTTAAAATTTATAATATTACTGAACTTAAAATTTAAAAAATAATTTGCTCATTTATTTATTTAAAAATAATACATTTTACTTTAAATTTTATGCGAATTAAGTACATGCCAACAATCCAATCTATAATTATAATATATTGATGTGATGTCGACTATTTGAATCTAATTAATTAAATAAAGATAAACCCAATGTTGATCGGCTTGATCAAACTGAGCCCCAGATTAATTAAAAAGAAACTTTGACGAGGGAAGGATTAGATGGGCCGACCATGTTCTATTTTCAATATTTACAAAGTAAACTCTCTTTTATTTTGTGACGAGACATTTTATAAGGCTAGAAGTCATGGTGAATTGGTGATGACAAAAATGACGGTAATCAATATGATTAATAATTAATTATGCGATATTTTAATGTCACTATGACATAAAGAACTGAGTAATGGTGATAAGAACAGGTCACCTCTCATCTTCACATGCCATCCAATAATTATCGTCCATTAACTGTACTCGCATAAGCTAACACACTTCCTTAATAAGGCCAAGACCGAACTTACCTTAACACACACACACACACACACACACACATGTGTGGACACGTGGTTAGGTTCTAAGTCTCGTTCCAAAGTAGAATCTTCATAAAATAGTTCTGTGATGATTAGTTAATAACATTTGATTTTAGCAATACTTAAAATATGTAATATAGTTCCTCCATTTAAAAATATAAGTTATTTTTAACCGAATCTTACCCTTTAATAAAATAATTACCTACTTTTTAATTAACTCTATCTTTTTATATTTATCTCTATTAAACACCCTATAATAAATATAAAGTCATTTTTAATAAGGGCACTTTTAAAAAAAAAAAGTAACGATTACACCTCAAAAGACTAAAAATACTTTACATTTTTTAATATCCAACTCCTTAAAAAATATTTTATATTTTTAAATGAAGTATATTAATGAGTGCAAGAATTATCATAAATTTGACAATATAACATGAATTTTCATAGTGTAGACGTTTCACGTTTTAATCAAATTAAATGCATTGTCCCGATTGTAAGAAACTTTTAACCATAATATTTCACATACTAATAAAAATAATTATTTTCTCACTTTCACATATATAAACAGATGGCATGTTTTTTTTTTTTTACCATTTTGATATTAACCATTTTATAGTATGAAGAATATGAGAAGTGTTTAGTCTAATTATACTTAATGCCCACATTAATTTAGTTTAAAAAAAATATTACAATTTAGACAAGAGAGAATGGATATAACATCTTTAAAATGTAAAATTTAATATATTTACATGATAACCTTTGTGTTCCTACCTAATACTAGAAGTTTTAAACTTTTTCAAGTTTGATGAGGCAGAGAACATAATTTACTGTATTTTTTTTTTTGTTTAGGGTTAGTATATTGTAGTTTGGAAATTAAGTAGGCAGAGGGATCATTGAATAGAGAAAAGACCAAACGGTTGTTATCTAATCTAGTTTTTAATTTTAAAATAAATCATGATTTAAATTTTTAATATTGGACAATTGAATGCTCTTTGTTTTTCAATAACAATGTATTTGAATTTCAAATTCTAGAAACCATCAAATAATTATCCATTAATTAATTATTAATTAATGAATTTAAATCATGTTTATTTCCATCAATAAAATTAAATCCTGTTTAATGTTGATTAATGAAATTATTCTTCTATTATAAAGGAGAGGCTACCAAATTAGGAAATGGAGCAAATTCTAAATTTATCTCTCTCCAAAATTCTACATATTTTCTAACGAATGTCTTAATTGCCAAACTTGTATTATTAACCTCTTTTAGGGCCTCATCCACAACTAATGGACTTATATGCACTTGGTTAAACAATTACAACAACAATCATGTATCTCAAATCAAATTTAACCATTCAAAGGCCCTAATTTCTCACAAAATAAGGCCATGTTGTATATTTACACAAAATCATCTCCTAGCCAAATTCCATATACATCATATCGAAACATTCTTTCCCTCATGCACTTTACTAGTATCTCAGCCCTCAATTCACATCTATTACAAACACATACATTAAGGCTAAGATACACCACATCTCAACTCATATAAGTGCAATCAAACATGTGTATACATTCCTATTAGGTAAATTATAAGCATAACTTTTATGTGCATATGCATTAAACAATTTACAATAAGAGCCATACGGTAGTAGTCCTGCTACTCTTGGCCCGAATCTTTCTCTCAACTCCTATATGTATTTGAACCTGCAAAATAATAACCACAGAATGAGACAAAATCTCAATAGTCAAAATAATTCACAACTATCTATTAACAAGTAAAACTATAAACAAGTATGTAAAGCGAGATTATAAATACATGTTTTAAATACAAATAATCAATAACACATGCATAATCATACTATCCATTAGAACCTTCTCATCTACCTTTGACTGAATCCATAGGTTACTCTACTAGACCAAACCTAAATAAGATGATCTAAGCTCACCTTTTATAAAAGAACTACCTGGCTAAAGGTGTTCTATCCCACTCATAGACTACGGACTTTCCCTATTACTCACATAATCAAGGTGTCATATACTCTAATATCACACCTTTCTAGGTACTAAGGAGCGTATATTCATATTATAGTTGTCCAGATGTCCCATGATAATAGTCCATAATATGTTTGTTACACCAGATGTCCCGTGGTGCTAGGTCGACCATATAGGTTTTATCATTACTCCACCTAAGATGAACTCTCACCCTCACCATCATGATTGTAACATCCTAAGTTTCAAACCTTGAAATTTATAGTGTTTAGGAGGGTAATTTAGTTGAAATAGGTGATTTATGAACTAATGATATTTTTGGAACACTAATAAGGTTTTGAACCTTTAAATAGCTTGGGAAATAAGCAATGATGGTGCACAAGTCAACTGGGCTTGAGCAAGAGGCCATTTTAGCATGTGGTACTTACTGTGCCATGTGTTGCGGCGCATGGCCAAATTCTGGCATTAAC